AGTGTGATTATAGATTGTGCTTCTACACTGCATCGCAGAGTGCTACTATACTGAAAACAATAATTTCTTTTTGTTATGAGTAAAGTTATTGAACTGAGAATGAATTATTTACCTGGAGTTAACTATAACCGCCCCCCTCCCAAAAACCCCCACCCATCTAGAATTTGGAGTAGGAGATGTTTGTTGACTTTAACTGTAAATGATTTCTTTATCTTTAAAATGCCTAACGATTCTTTGATATAGACACATCTGAATTGTGGCCTTATATGGATTGGGTTGTTGTAGCTTTTTTCGGGCTATATTATAGAATCATAGAATCAAAGAGTTGGAAGAGACCTCATGGGCCATCCAGTCCAACCCTGCCAAGAAGCAGGAAAATTGCATTCAAAGCACCCCTGACAGATGGCCATCCAGCCTCTGTTTAAAAGCTTCCAAAGAAGGAGCCTCCACCACACTCCGGGGCAGAGAGTTCCACTGCTGAACAGCTCTCACAGTCAGGAAGTTCTTTCTCATGTTCAGATGGAATCTCCTTTCCTGTAGTTTGAGCCATGTTCTAAAGGCATTTTCTCCTGACGTTTCGCCTGCATCTATGGCAAGCATCCTCAGAGGTAGTGAGGTCTGTTGGAACTAGGAAAAAGGGTTTATATATCTGTGGAATGACCAGGGTGGGACAAAGGACTCTTGTCTTCTGGAGCTAGGTGTGAATGTTTCAACTGATCACCTTGATTAGCATTTGATTGCCTGGCAGTGCCTGGAGCAATCTTTTGTTGAGAGGTAATTAGATGTCCTTGTTTGTTTCCTCTCTGTTGTTGTGCTGTTCTAATTTTAGAGTTTTTTAATACTGGTAGCCAGGTTTGGTCATTTTCATGGTTTGTTTGCTATATAATTTCACCTTGTAGTTATTTTGACCATTAATAGCAACACAGCTATTTGGGAATACTGGGTTGTTGTAGGTTTTTCTGGGCTATATGGCCATGTTCTGGAGGCCAATTTTTCTCCTGACGTTTCGCCTGCATCTATGGCAAGCATCCTCAGAGGTAGTGAGGTCTGTGGAAGTAGGAAAAATGGGTTTATATATCTGTGGAATGACCAGGGTGAGACAAAGGACCACTGTCTGCTGGGGCTAGCTGTGAATGTTTCAGCTGATCAATGGCCTGGAAGCGCCTGGGGAGAATCTCTTGTTGAGAGTGATTTTATCCTGTTTGTTTCCGTTCTTTATTTACTGTCCTGATTTTAGAGTTTTTAATACTGGTAGCCAGAATTTGTTCATTTTCATGGTTTCCTCCTTTCTGTTGAAATTGTCCACATGCTTGTGGATTTCAATGGCTTCTCTGTGTAGTCTGACATGGTGGTTGTGAGAGTGGTCCAGCACTTCTGTGTTCTCAAATAATATGCTGTGTCCAGGTTGGTTCATCAGGTGCTCTGCTATGGCTGATTTCTCTGGTTGGAGTAATTTGCAGTTCCTTGATGCGTGTCTGGGCGCTGCTTTTGGTGGTCCCTATGTAGACTTGTCCACAGCTGCACCTCCTTTCAACAGAAAGGAGGAAACCATGAAGATGAACAAAATCTGGCTACCAGTATTAAAAAACTCAAAAATTACAACAGCAAAACAACAGAGGGGAAACAAACAGGCACATAAAATCACTCTCAACAAGATATTCTCCCCAGGCGCTTCCAGGCCATTGAATGCAAATCAAGGTGATCAGCTGAAACATTCACAGCTAGCCACAGCAGACATTTTTCCTACTTCCAACAGACCTCACTACCTCTGAGGATGCTTGCCATAGATGCAGGCGAAACGTCAGGAGAAAATGCCTCTAGAACATGGCCATATAACCCGGAAAAACCTACAACAACCCAGTGATTCCCGGCCGTGAAAGCCTTTGACAATATTTGGGAATAGGTTTATTTCCAGGTAGTCAAAGAGCTAACATTTGGGTTCAGGGCCAGCACTGTTCCAGAGAAAATATGACGTCTTCTAGAGTTGGAAGTTTTGGAAGTTTTGACAAGAACTGCAGACGCGTGGAGTGGATACAGGGTGTGTGTGTGTGTGTGTGTGTGTTTTGGACTGATACAAGAATAGGCAGAGGAGGATTTCTTGCTCTCCATACTGGTGAGAAGCTTGGTGAGCCCAGTCTCATACTTTCCCCACATTTTGTTTTGTTGTGTCAGGAGCAACTTGAGAAACTGCAAGTTGCTTCTGGTGTGAGAGAATTGGTCGTCTGCAAGGACGTTGCCCAGGGGATGGCTGGATGATTTGATGTTTTTATCTTCTTTGTGGGAGGCTTCTCTCATGTCCCCGCATGAGGAGCTGGAGTTGATAGAGAGAGCTCATCCGCCTCTCCCCAGATTCGAACCTGCAACCTGTCGGTCTTCAGTCCTGCCGGTACAGGGGTTGAACCCACTGCGCCACCGGGGGCTCCTAGTCACTGAGTTGAACTTGTGCAATTCAATCAAATAACTGGTCACAGAGTTCTGTTTCTTTTAATCATGGCTGAATGTAACATAAGAATGTTCTGTACTTTTGTATCTGTTTATGCCCTGCTTGAAGGCAATGCCATTCATGTATATTACGCCTTTCAAATGTGATGCGGGTATCTAATTAAAAGGAAAAAAAGATTCCTGTAAGAGCTCCCCCTTTCTTGTGACTTTCTTATTTTCCATAGGAGGGAGGCGGAAAAGTCTATGGGAAAAACCAGGAGGGGAGAGAAAGACAGGATGAGTCGCTTGGCAGTTTTGCAGCTAATTAGTGGATTGCACCACAAGTGATGGAAGCTATTGAAGAATTATTTAAAATAACTATTTAAAATTACTTAATGGGGAGTATTTTGCTACATAGACTATTTGCTACAGACTGTTTCAAACTCCTGTCAGAAGACAAAAAGGGTATGACATTCTTCTAAACATGTGATGTCTTTTATTGTCTTCTTACTGGAATTTAAAACAGTTCACATTGAATTATATTATGCTTCCTAGTAAAATAATATGTAAAATATTTTTTTCTCAAATATTATCTTAATAATTGCAATAGAAAAGGACAATTTACTTTCTCTCCACCTGAAACTGAAAGGGGCGTTTAGGATTTCTATGTGAAATCAGAGGTATATATAATTCTGATTCTGAATTTAATTTCCTTAGCTATTTCACCTGCCGATATCAATTATGGAGAAACCTTAAGCACCCTTCGTTATGCAAACCGAGCTAAAAACATAATCAACAAGCCTACCATTAATGAAGATCCAAACGTCAAGTTAATTCGTGAGCTTCGAGCTGAGATAGCCCGACTGAAAACCCTCCTTGCTCAGGGGAATCAGGTTAGCTGGCACTCAAGACATGAATAGTTTCTCTGAGTGATGCCATCTGTTTCAACATCTTAAGGGAATTGATGCTTTTAAAATTATACTGACTTACATGAGTCAATCTTGTTTAATATATTCTTCTCATAACTTTGGATAGTTGATAACGTCAGTGTTGAATACCTTTTAAAATGTCTTTTACTACCTTTTACTATTTCCTTTCCCAATGCTAGAGAAAAACAGTCTTTTTCTAGTCCTAGGAGAAGGTAATAGACCTTCCTTATCAGTCCTTTAGAGAATTATCCTCATTCCTGTTCTTGTCATGCCTATATAGAGTTATCACCATGAATTATTTGCTGGGAGCTTCCTTTGTGTTATTTGCAGTGCCACAACTGGTCCCTCAATTGGCAATGCAGATAATTTCTACTAGGGCACTACATGTTGAATTTATTGCTAGTACAGTGTTACTGGTACAGATGCTAAAGTCACTCTAGTTGGCCATGTCCAGTAGTGTACTTCTACTGAATTGTGCTGTCCCTGCCAGAATTGGCCACCTTTATACTTTAAACATTTGCTGTGGAGGTGTGGGAGCAATTTTTAATGCCATAGAGCAATTTCCACTGTCACTGGTCTGCAGTGGGAGGGAAATAAACCTTATATTTTGCTGGTGTTGGGAATTGGAGCTGGGCAATATAGTTATACTTATATAGTTAACAGTTATTCTTCATAAACAATACAATTGCTTGTATTGTTGTGTTTGGGCTCGGCCTCATGTAAGCCGCACCGAGTCCCTTGGGGAGATGGTAGCGGGGTACAAATAAAGTATTATTATTATTATTATTATTATTATTATTAAACATTATTTCAGATAAAACAATGTTAATATTACTCAATTTTTAAAAAAAGTTTTCAAAGGAAGAATTTCTCTTCATCTGATCCAAGAAGGGAAGTATGTACCTAAAAGTGAAATCAAAATCCTTCAGAATGCCTTTCTTTATCTCTCGAGAGCAGGATATTTTACTGTTCTTATTCAAAGACTATTGTCATATTGACATTACGTAAATCAACCGAGTACTTAGGAAACATGAGAAGGAATAATAACAATAACAACAATAATAATAACAATAACAAACCAGTAAAGGTGGTCCCAGTGGTGATTGGCACATTGGGTGCAGTGCCTAAAGACCTAATAATAATAATAACAACAATAATAACACTAACAAACCAGTAAAGGTGGTCCCAGTGGTGATCGGCACATTGGGTGCAGTGCCTAAAGACCTTGGCCTGCACTTAAACACAATCGGTGCTGACAAGATTACCACCTGCCAGCTGCAAAAAATCACCTTACTGGGATCTGCATGCATTATTGGCCGATACATCACACAGTCCTTTATCTGCCTGCCAGATTACCCAAAGCCCTGGTCCCATATCCATGTTTTTAGTTTCCTACTGAAAGAGAGGAGGGATGTCGATGACCTAATTTCCCCGGGAAGCGAATTCCACAGGTGAGGGGCCACCACCGAGAAGGTCCTGCTCCTCGTCCCCACCAGTCTCACTTGTGATAAGGGTGGGGCCGAGAGCAGGGCCTCCCCAGAAGATCTTAAACCTCTCTCCCTCCTTTCTTTCTTCATGTTTTTGAGTACAATGTTCTAAAATATAACAATATTTTGCTGTGTAATTTTGTGTTTTGTCTGTTTAACTTAGATTGCCCTCTTGGATTCGCCAACAGCATTAAGTATGGAAGAAAAACTGCAGCAAAATGAAGCAAGAGTAAGTTTTAGTTTGTGAAATGACTTAAGCCCCATCACTTTTATAACAACCCTATAAATGCCTACTCTCAGTTAAGTTCTATTATCCCCAAACCCTAATCCAGGGGAAAGTGCATAGGATTACCATGTTTCTTACATTTCTAACAGTTAATATTAAAGGGAATCATTATAAATTTTCTGATGTTAAATTATATTTTACTTTGTATAAGACATTTGATGCCTTGACCTTTAATTAAAGTTTTTGGGGAACTTAATATCAGCATTTTAAAACAGTGTGAATCCATATGTAAGAAATACAGTAAAAAAAGTGGAGCACAGTATTTGCATTCAACATGTGTTTTACTACTTGCTGTTCTTGCTAAGATAGTTTTTATTTTCAGCTCCAGGACATTCAGATTTACAATAAATAAACTATCCCCATTTCCTTTGCATAACCTGCACATTTGATGTCAAGGTTATAGATAACAGAGTCTCAATTAAGTAGAACTCTCAAGCAACCAGCAAGTAAATAACATATAGTACTACTTAGACCTATTTTTAATATTCTCAAACTAGAAACTTCATTTGGCATCTCCCAATCACCATGAGTGCTAGTTAACTAAGAGTCTACTGTATACATTGTTTTCTAGGAACACACTAAATTGTTACTGTGAGAAAGGTGTCTGCAAATGTAGCTATCATACACAAATACTTGCTACAAACCTATGCTTGGCTATAATTCTCTGTTAAATGTATTTAGCAGCAAGTCTACATTTGCCACTTCATAATACTTGAAATGCCATGCATGCAGCCATGAGATCTCACAGGAAAAAGTTGTTAACTGAATAACTTGGTCAATAGATTTGTAGCCTTGATATCCATTGGCAGACTCCCTTCTAAGTACTAACTATGACTGATTAAGATGACAAAGGATCTGGTGCTTTTGGGGCCTTTGGGCCTTTATTACTATTATCAACATATTAGATTACGAACTAAAGGAGATGGTTATTCCAATAGGATTAATGCAAGACAACTGAAATACATGTGTTAATACAGTGGTTCTCAAC